CTGGGAGGACTCCAAGGTGTTCCCAGGCCAACAGAGAGACATAGTCTCTCCAGTGTGTCCTGGGTCTCCTCCCAGTTGGACATGACTGAAGCACCTCCCTAGGGAGACGCCCAGGAAACATCCTTACCAGATGCCCGAACCACCTCAATTGGCTCCTATTGATGTGGAGGAGCAGCGGTTCTACTCTGAGTCTCGCCCGGATAACCCAACTTCTCTCCCTATATCTAAAAGCTGCCCTGCGGAGGAAACTCATTTCAACCGCCTGTATCCATGATCTCATTCTTTCGGTCACTACCCAGAGCTCGTGACAGTAGGTGAGGGTAGGAACGTAGACTGACAGGTAAACAGAAAGTTTTGCCTTAGAGCTCAGCTTCCTCGTCACCACAGTGGACCGGCACAGAGTTCGCAATACTGCAAATGTTGCACCAATCTGTCTGTCAATCTCAAGCTCCATTCTTCCCTCACTCGTGAAAAAAAACCCCAGAGATACTTGAACTCCTCCACTTGAGGCAGAACCTCACCCTCAACCTGAAGAGAGCACTGCACCCTTTTCCGACTGAGGACCACAGCCTCAGATTTGGAGGTGCTGATTGTCATCCCAGCCGCGAACCGCTCCAGTGAGAGCTGAAGATTACGGCACGATGACGCCAACAAGACCACATCATCTGCAAAGAGCAGAGATGGAATCCTGAGGCCACCGAACCAGAAACCCTCTGCCAGCTGGCTGCACCGAGAAATTGTGTCCATAAAAGTTATGAACAGAATCGATGACAACGGGCAGCCCTGGCAGAGTCCAACTCCCACCCTGAAGGGGTCCGACTTACTGCCGGCAATGCGAACCAAGCTCTCGCACCGCTTGTACAGGGACAAGTGGTGCGAGCTACTCGCTACTTTTCAACATCTTAGTTAAAAGGTACGCATGGCAACAAGACTAGCTGCAAATTATAAGTAGCAGAATGGGAACTAAAACTCAGGAAAGGCTAAAGAAAAGCTAAACAGAGTTAAAAACAGCAGAACTGTAGCTAAAAGCTAAAAAAAAAAAAAAAAGCAGAAGACAAAAAACAGAGCAAGTTGTGCTGAAGAAGAGTTCAAAGAGAACAATGTTTCTGAAGGAATTCAATAAATCAAAGTATTTCCATGGGAAAATACATGTGTAAAAAATAAAAATATTTTGAAATGTATAAACGTTACAAAAAAACCCAACATTTCCCAGCACCCATATTCTGAGTGAACCGAATGTTTGCATATATAAACTGCTAAAGTGGTGCAAATTATTAAGAAGCAATTAGAGGGAAAGCACTACGGAAGAAGCGTTAACAACAAATGAAGCTCACGTCATGCAGGCAGAAACGAAACCTCAACATTTGGTTTGGACGTCAACAGAAGAGTTGAGTTTAACCATCGTGTCATCGCCACAGTGAAGCAGCTCGTGGTTCAGACCGAGTCCCTCTGCTGGAGTTCAGCCCTCCTTGTCATATTTTCTAACCAAGCAGCCGAAGGAGCAGCTAAAAGCGCTCTAAGCTGCCTGGTGACCCCATGCTGGAGTAATGGCTCCCTGCACTGCAGACAGAGGTTGCTGTGCACGTTGACATTTTGAAACCCTTTCTTTACTGAATGAAGACTCCGGAGCTGCACGTTGCTCAGACCAGCGTCCACTTCACCTCGTTCTCACCACACCTCCTCCAGCTGAATTCTGGGATACAGGGCAGGCCCGGTAATTACTTCCAGAGGCCCGCAGAGGCGAACCAGGCGAAATGAGGGCTTTGGAGATCAAGTGAATCCAACATCAAGTCAAGTTAGAGAATAGTAGCAGGCGTTCACTTTTCCCCCCAACATTAAGAGGTAACATTTTCCACTTTTTATTTTTTTCTTCTGTGTATAAAAAATATTGTCTATTATTTAAAAACATAAAACAGACTGCCTCCCAGGTGACTGATGTGAACAATTAATCATTAGGCATCAGTACAAGTCTAATTATTATTTGAGATCATGCTTTTGCCCGTGTGCCTGTATGCTTGTGTCTGTTAGCAAAATATCTCATCAACCGCTGGACAGATTTGAATGAAACTCTCAAAAAGTTTTCACTGAATGTGCCTCTTTAATTGATTAACTTTTGGGGTCAGCCTCGTTCAAGATGGCTGCCACAGCTAAGCAAACTTAGCAAACACAAAAATGTCTATAACTCAGTCAATTTTCCAAATATTAAGCTAAAATGTGTTGTATCAACAGCTGAGAGCAATTCCCAACACGAATATGGAGCGCTAACTGCTCAAGTGAGGCATGTTTATAAACAATTGCTATTAACTATTACAGTCAACTTTGCCTGTCTGTTAGCAAAATATCTCGTGAACCACTGGATGGACTGTTATGAAACTTTCAGGAAATAATCACTGGGTGCACATCTAGAGTTCATTAACATTTGGAGCCAAGACAATTTAAGATGGTTGCCACAGCTAATTGACATTAGCTAACACAAAAATGGCTTTAACTCAGTCAGCTTTGAAAATATCGAGCTTAAATTTGATAAGGTAATAGCTGAGAGTCATCCCCAGCACATATTTCAAGGGCTAACAGATTGCACGTAAGGACGTTTACAGGGTGTGACCTAAACTGCTATAAATCTATCCCTCGTCATAATAAAAGGATTTCAGTTTAAAAGCCTGGAATGAGAGGCAGCGGGTGATATGCATCCCTTCCTTCCTTCATAACCAGAGTCCTTCAAGGAATGCTGGACCTTTAATAGCAGTATGGAGATGGACCTGGGGGGTGGAGGGTTGACACCCTCCACAGCTGTCACCCAGGACAACATGCACAGATCTGCATGTGTCAGAAGATTAATTATTTACATTAGTGCACGTGAGGGTGAAAATGCACGCAGCTTTTCCTGCTTTTTCATGAATGTGCTGCCTTCGGTCTGTGGGCAGGAAGGGCGGGGAGTGGAGGGATAATGAGAGCCTGCACCAACACAGAGACACGCTTTAAACATGATCTGCGCGAGACATCCCCCCAAATACACAACTTCACATCTCCACAGGTCTAATGTGAACGATCAACCCCCCCCCCCCCCCCAACCCACAACCAAAGAAGAAAATAGGTCGGTATCTTTTTTTATTTTATTTTTTTTACTTTTACGAGGTCATTTCTGACCAAGAACGCAGAGCAGAACACGCGAGCCAATAACAGCGTGCAGAAAGTGACAGCACACTTTTAGAAGCATGTTTACCTTTTCTTTCTGAGGGGCTCGTTTCTCCATCCTGTCTGTCTGTTTCTGCCAAGTCTCCGTCTCATCCCATCACCGTCCTACACAAAACGTTGTCCATTATGTCCCTGAACAAGTCTCCGAGTTTGGACAGTCGCAGACTCCGCTTTCTTTCTTTCTTTCTTTCTTTTTTTGGCTTGGAAATGAGGCGATGAACGCCAGAAAGAAATTCACCAAAACTTGGTCTGTGAGCCGTTCAGGAGAAACTTTCCTCAGGAAAGTGCGCCATGTTGTCAAATCTTTCTCTTTTTTTTTTTTTTTCGTCCTTTTTTCTTTTCGCCCCCTGTTGTTGCCATAGCAGATTACTGAGAGCACACAGAGGCAGAGAGCTCTCAGCCACCACAACCTAATATATTTATTAAAAATGTAGTCTATAAAATGAGATAAAAGGCGATGTTAAGTATTTTAAGTGGCTGTGACGATTAAAATAACATTTAGGTCAAAGGCGCTCATAGATTCCAGAAGGATATGGGCAAAAGGGAAAAGGGGCACCATTTCTGCTGGCAAATGCTTTAACATCAAAATGTACATTTGTTGTCGTTTCTTTTGCTTTGTTTGTTATTATACAAATGATTACTCAGGTTCACATTTTTTTTTTAACATTTGATAAAGTGTTCCTGCAACCTGGAACACCTTGCAACAGGAACAAAGCTGCCCCCCCCCCCTTAATTTCCTAAGGGGATTTTAAACATTTTATGATGTCATGTAACATCAAAGCAAATATGTTCTTGCTTTCAGTATGCCGCCCTGTATTGTTTGACAACACTACTTTTATTTTAACTGCATTTTTTACAGTAGTTTATTGTTATTGTTGATATTGTTGTCTGGACTTTAAATGTTCTGTCCGGAACAGTTCCCTCTCGTAAACGAGTCATCGTGGTTCAGTGAGACTAGCCTGTTTAAATAAAGGCTGAATGAAAAAAAGGTCGCTAGAAAAATCTAGCTAGAAAATATTTTACCTTGTTTTATGTGGCACTTTGATTTTACTGTTGTTTTTACATTGTTGTTTTAATTGATTTCATTGTTGTTAAACAGGTGTCTCTTGTAAATGAGTCCTCGAGGCTCAGTGAGACTAACCTGTATAAATAAAGGTAGAATGAATTAATGGATTTTGTCCATCTAAAACGGGTCTCTTTTGAAAATGAGTCCTTGTGACTCAGTGAGACTGCCTGTATGTAAGGTTAAATAAATAAATAAATAATACAGTGAAATCCAAGTTGGAATACCATTTTTCCAGTGCAGGTTTTGATGACAGGATTTTCTCATCTATGAATCTGTCACTGCTGAACAAAGATAGCACCCAAAAATGCAAAATGACTCAAGGAGCTCAAATACAAACCGGATTCCAAAAAAGTTGGGACACTAAACAAATTGTGAATAAAAACTGAATGCAATGATGTGGAGATGGCAAATGTCAATATTTTATTCGTAATATAACATAGATGACAGATCAAAAGTTTAATCTGAGTAAATGTAACATTTTAAAGGAAAAATGTGTTGATTCAAAATTTCACAGTGTCAGCAAATCCCCAAAAAGTTGGGACAAGTAGCAATAAGAGGCTGGAAAAAGGAAATTGGGCATAAAACAAACAGCTGGAAGACCAATTAACACTAATTAGGTCAATTGACAACATGACTGGGTATACAAAGAGCTTCTCAGAGTGTCAGTGTCTCTCAGAAGCCAAGATGGTAAGAGGATCACCAATTCCACCATTGTTGCACAGAAAGATAGTGCAGCAATACCAGAATGGTGTTACCCAGCGTAAAATAGCAAATACTTTTAAGTTATCATCATCAACCGTGCATAACATCATCAAAAGATTCAGAGAATCTGGAACAATCGATGTGCGTAAGGGTCAAGGCCGTAAAACTCTACTGGATGCTCGTGATCTCCGGGCCCTTAAACGTCACTGCACCTCAAACAGGAATGCCACAGTCAAGGAAATAACAGAATGGGCTCAGGAATACTTCCAGAAAGCATTGTCAGTGAACACAATCCACCGTGCCATCCGCCGTTGCCAGCTGAAACTCTACAGTGCAAAGAGGAAGCCATTTCTAAGCAAGCTCCACAAGCTCAGACGTTTGCACTGGGCCAAGGGTCATTTAAAATGGAGTGTGGCAAAATGGAAGACTGTTCTGTGGTCAGATGAGTCACGATTTGAAGTTCTTTATGGAACACTGGGACGCCATGTCATCCGGACCAGAGAGGACAAGGATAGCCCAAGTTGTTATCAACGCTCCGTTCAGAAGCCTGCATCACTGATGGTATGGGGTTGCATGAGCGCTTGTGGCATGGGCAGCTTGCATGTCTGGAAAGGCACCATTAATGCAGAGAACTATGTTCAGGTTCTAGAACAACATATGTTCCCATCTAGACTTCATCTCTTTCAGGGAAGACCCTGCATTTTTCAACACGATAATGCCAGACCACATTCTGCTGCAATCACAACATCATGGCTACGTAGGAGAAGGATCCGGGTACTGAAATGGCCAGCCTGCAGTCCAGATCTTTCACCTATAGAGAACATTTGGCGCATCATAAAGAGGAAGGTGCGACAAAGAAGGCCCAAGACGATTGAACAGTTAGAGGCCTGTATTAGACATGAATAGGAGAGCATTCCTATTTCTAAACTTGAGAAACTGGTCTCCTCTGTCCCCAGACGTCTGTTGAGTGTTGTAAGAAGAAGGGGGGATGCCACACAGTGGTAAAAATGGACTTGTCCCAACTTTTTTGGGATTTGTTGACGCCATGAAATTTGGAAACAACAGATTTTTCCCTTAAAATGATACATTCTCTCAGTTTAAACTTTTGAGCTGTGATTTGTGTTCTATTCTGAATAAAATATTAGATGTTGGCACCTCCACATCATTGCATTCAGTTTTTATTCACAATTTGTTTAGTGTCCCAACTTTTTTGGAATCCGGTTTGTAGAACAAAACATGTTTATAAAACAAAACAGAAAGCTGTCATGACAACAGAACTTACCAAACCTAAGATCAGCACAGAGAAGCACAGGGAGATCTGGATATGGCATGCGTAATGCACTAGGCTCAGCTGAAGAAGGAGTGAGAACTGAAGGGATTAAAAAGAGTGGGGATGATAAGGGAAGTAGCTCCAGCTGTGACAGGTGAAACAGAAAGTAGATGTAGATGGGTGTGGCATGCTGACTGAAAAACACAGAGGAGCGCGGGGAAAAAAGCACAGAATAACCAACTTAATAAACAAAAGAAGGAAACGACAACAATAATAAATACAAACAACTAAACTAAATAAGTAAAGCACTGATTGTAGCAGAACCAGTTTGGAAAAATTAAAAAAGAGAATATATTGAATTTTTGATTTAAAAAAATGAAGAGGTTAGGAGTTTTTTTAAGAATACACACACACACACACACGTATACATGTATATATATATATATATATATATATAGTTGCATATAAGATACATATATATTTGCACTTGCAAAAATAAAATAAAAAATAGACTTCCAAATCAAAGTACTTTGTCTGATTTATTTTTTACTAGCATAAGTTATTATAAAATTCAGTTTTATGTATTCTGTTGTATTACATTTAGTAACACTAAACATGGGATTTTTTTCTTTCCGAAACCCTATTACAACTTTTAATTCTTTGTTGTCAACCTTCTTACAGTGTGGGATACTCAAACACACAACGTCATTGCTCAGTTTGAGGAACTGTGCTGCTAGCTGCTCCCAAGTGGGAGAAATTATAATACAGCTGTAAATCAATTGTTCCTAAAAGGCATGAGCACAGATTAAAAGCTTTGGAATGTATTATTACGAACATGAAAATATAATTTTCTGTACACAAAATGCTATTATTAGTGGTCTGGGGTCTGAGACTTTGGCTTCAAACACTGTCTCCAAGTGAACATTTTGGCTTGACTCTGCAACAGAGTAAAGATATCATAATCGTTCTGCCTGGCTCCATGACTCTTCATTTGCTATTGCATAAATAATTGGTGCACTTATGGCATCAGAGCCCTCATTAATAATATTAAATATACTTTTGTTTTACATGCTTTGGCAGGTCAAAATATCTGCTTGTATGTAAAAATTCATTTTGGTCTTAGAACAAAATGTTGCTATTCTTCTAGGTTTGCAACATATACTCAACAAAAATATAAACACAACACTTGTTTTGTTCCCATTTTCCTGAGCTGAACCCAAAGATCTGACTTTTTATATGTATACAAAATGCCCTTTTCAATCAAATATTGTTCACAAATTTGTGTTAGTGAGCACTTCTCATTGGCCGAGATAGTCCATCCACCTCACAGGTGTGGCACATAAAGATGCTGATTAGACAGCATGATTATTGCACAGACTTGCCTTAACCACAGTAAAAGGCCACTCTAACATGTGCAGTTTTATCACACAGTACTATGACACAATTGTTGCATGTTTTGAGGGAGCATGCAATAGGCGTGCTGACTGCAGGAATGTCCACGAGAACAGTTGCCCGTCAACTGAATGTTAATTTCTCTACCATAAGCCATCTCCAAGGGAGATTTCAGAGAATTTGGCAGTACATCCAACCAGCCTCACAACCTCAGACCACATGTAACCACACCAGTCCTGGACTTCCACATCAAGCATCGTCACCTCCAAGATCATCTGAGACCAGCTATCCAAACAGCAGCTGGAACAATTGATTTGCATAACTGAAGAATTTCTGCACAAACTGTCAGAAACCATCAATAATCATTAGGCCTTACAAGTTGGGTGCATGACTCCATGGGCAGTGGCAGAAGGTGGGGCCTTGGCACTCTGACCCTTGCTTAACAAAGCTGGCTCTTGCGACATGGAACATAACCTCCATGGTAGGGAAGGAGCCTGAGCTTGTACATGAGATTGAGAGATACCAACTAGATATAGTTTGGCTCACCTTGACAAACATCATGGGCTTTGGAATCAATCTCCTTGAGAGGAGTTGGACATTATTCCACTATGGAGTTGCCCATGCTGAGAGGCACGGAGCTGGTGGGGGGCTACTCTTAGCCCCCTGATTTGGTGTCTGTATGTTGGAGTTTTCCCCAGTAGATGAGAGGGTGGCTTCCCTGTGGCTTTGGGTGAGGGGACAGGCTCTGATAGTTTGTGCATTTGCACCAAAGAGCAATTCAGAATATCCAGCCTTCTTGGGGTCCTTAGTGGATGTGCTGGTAGGTGCTCCAGCAGGAGACTACTTTATTCTGCTGGGGGACTTCAATGCCCACATGGATAATGACAGTGACCAGGAGGAGTGTGATTGGGAGGAACGGCCTCTCTGACCTGAACTCGAGCGGTGTTCTGTTGTTGGACTTCTATATTAGTCATGGTTTGTCCATCGAGAACACCATGTTCAAACATAAGGG